CGCTGAGCCGAGATGAGCTGAGGTGACAGAGACGCAATGGTTACGCCTATTTGTATTGTCAATGACATAGTTGATTGTCCAGAAACACCGCCATTATGAACTGTTTGCAATGTCTATTATAGTTATCACCTCGTTTATGGCAGTTTCTGTTGCTCGGCTCTTTATGTACAAATGTTGGGATGTAACCAGAGTTGCTCTATTTAGAAGTGATCTTATATGAATATTCATTATCCTCTCCATCACCTTCGTCATGAAGCAAGTTAGGCATATGGTTCCGAAGTCCTAAGGTCTATCGTCTGCTTTCATCTTGGTTTTGGTGTGAAGACCACCCTGACTTTTTTCCAAGGGCCCAAGAAGGAACGATGATCTCTAGTAAATACAATATTTGAAACTATGCTTGCCGTAATCGAAGTCCCAGCGTGTTTAATCCTTTACTATTTCACTACACTCACATTATTTTCATTTGTACTGAGATGCCAGATCCGAAGTAACCGTAATATCAACAAAAACTTCACACTGTGCGACACTTCCTATGGAATACAAGGAGTCCGTACAGAACCCGTAGCAAAGATCGATATTCTAGCGAGAGAGCGTGCGTCAACGAGATTTTTACTCTCTTAGAGAGAGAGAGAGAGAGAGAGAGAGAAAGAGAGCGCTAGTACGCGGTGTAGTTTTGTTGATCGAAGTTCTTCATATCATGCAATTATGATTGGAGCACACACAAAACAACACACATTTGTATGTATGTATGCACGTACGTACCAACATGCGAACATTCTTAATATAATTTTACGAGTATTTACGTGCAGAGTTTTTAGCTATCAGTTGGCATGTTTGTTTGCTTGTTTGTCTGTCTTTTTATTTGTTTGTACCTTCGTCTGTCTGCCCGTACGCCTGCCTGTTGACTGTCGGCTAGCTGTGTGTTGGCTCTTGGCTCTTAGCTGTCTACTCGATCGGTCTTATGAGCTATGCACACAGGCGTATATATTATATGTGTGTACATATGAACATATATGTTTGTGTACGTTTTTGTTGTTGTAGTGCCATATCAATGTTTGAACATCGGTATGAACTTCGTCTTTCGCCCGTGCAACTCGTCCATCGTCCATCGTCCATCGTCCGTCGTCCGTCTGCTCAACTGCGTCAACGGCAACGACGGCAATGCGGCGCGCTCATCTCAGCTCGCCAGGCAGCGAGCCAGCTAGCCAGCTCGTAGTAGTATCCATACACCTATTCAGTACAAGTTCAATAATCAAAGCGTTAAGACACCGAACAAATAGCGATTTTAACTAACAACAAAAACGGCAACAAATAAAACGACGAATCGTAGCAAAAAAGCCAAAAGACGTTAACGACAATGAAATACCGAAACCTCATTGGATCATTGGAAGATCAGAAAAAAATGAAGTGACTAAACGACCTAACGCGCGCGTCAGAGTAGCAACTTGCCTCAGAGGTTGTTAAACAAAAAAAAAAAAATAAATAAATAAAAATTAAAATTCTTTGATTTGTGTATGTGCTTCTGAATTTGTTGTTTTTTTTTTTTTCAAAATATCTGAACTTTTTTTATTTTGTTCAGTACACGAGCATTGTTTGGCGGTTAGTGGTGTTTTATGGCTATTTTTTTGGAATTTTTTTGTTTACTTAAATATGCTTTTCTATAAACTCGGCATTGTCCGTATAGAAATTTTTTTAATATTAGTTTTTTAAATGCTACACTTATGTGATTTTCGAAGACATGTCTGTATATATTATACATACATACATACATACCTACATATGTGTGCGTACGCGTGTTTTTTGTGTTGTTAAAACCAAAAGTTAAGCGAGAAGCAATTTGAGGAAAGAAAATACGAGGGTCGCTCTGTAAGTGTTTGAATGCCATAAATATGTAGAGAAAATTAACTTAAAACCAAAAAAAAAATGGTATTTTCCAATAAGAGGTGTTATTTTGATATTCAAAGAAACTTTTCCCTTGAAAGATCCATGGTCAATGTTGTCCCGATAAATACCAATCAATTGCGACAGTGAGAAAAATTAATCATTTCTCGATAGCGCAATCCAATCACCGTAACTGTTGATTCAGCCTCATTTTCGAATAAGGAAGGTCCGATGACCCTGCCGGACCATAAGCGGGACCATAAACCGCACCAAACAGTTACACGTTGAGGTTGGAGAGTCTTTTCAACAATAAATCTTGGGTTTTTTCATACCTCAGATGCGGCAGTTTGGCTTATTGACGTCGCCATCGAGGTCTAGTTGGTTTTCCGCTGAAATTGTTAATGTGAATCATTTCAATGCATTGTTGCGTTGTTCATCGTTCCATTTTTATTACTGGCATAGCTTTTACTGGTGAAATGTGAAAAACCCTCAGCTTCAAAAGTGACTGCTGCCGGAACAGAAGACTATTCTAAATATCACCTCTTAAAAATCCATTTGCCGTTCGGAGGTGGCTTAGAATGAACACAAGATTTCTCCATTTCTTTGAAAAACGTGAAGATAGTAAACGTCCAGCCGAGAGTAGCGGTTATAAAGTGTGTGTATAGTAATTTGACATATACTTGCCAGTGCTGTAATGAAATTTGTAATCGATTTTCACAGGCTTCTCTTGAGGCCGATTTATCACCAGCCAAATTATTCACTATAGACAGAAACTGATAATAATCACTTGATGCGTGGTCCGAACTATAAAGTTTATGTATAAGAACCTCCCAATCAAGCTCTCTGCGTTTCTGGCGAATCACTATCGATGTGTGTGGTCTGACGTTGGCCTGATGAAACACAATTCCACTAGTGCTGACCAAAGGTGGAGGAGGTTCCTACAGACGATCCAGTTACGGATAGTATAAGTCCGAATTAAGAGTTTAGCCGTAGGTTAACAGCTAAAAGTGGATGATTCCTTGTCAACTCTACCGATCGTCCAACAAAACCTTTTTGGACGGTCAATTCTGGTTTGGATATCGTTTGTGCGACCATGACCATTTTCATCAGCAGTCACCATCCGCTTCAGGAATGTGTTGATTTTGTTGCGATTTTTTTCGTTAACTCATGAGGCACCCATGCATCGAGCTGCTTTGTATATCCATTCTTTTTCAAGTTGTTTCAAACTATTTTTGCTGCAATGTTTAGCTCTTGGGCAAGTGATTTAGAATACAAAATTGAGCGCTCTCATGCTTTTTTGGTGGAGTTATGTCTAAAATCCACTATCAGAATCTGGCCGGTTACGATAAATGTACTTTTAAATTTAGCATTGGTTGAGATATCTCAAAAGCTCAGGGTTAGTTTGCGTACAAACAGACGGGCAGTCGAACATGGTTAAATCAACTCAACTCGGCATTCTGATCCGATCGGTATAAATTTGTATGGCGGCCGTGCTAACATCCAGATGACCTGGGTTCGAGTTGTGGTTCGTCCAACATTCAAAATTCGCTCACCGGCGCCTCTCCGGGTATTCTTTTGGCATAAAATAAGAAGCTCCTCATAAATATTCAGCAGCCGTTCGAATGAAATTTAGAAGAAATTGTTAGAAAAGAATCAAGATTCATACCACTCATACGGAGGAGCAGCTCGGCCAAAAATCTCTTCAACTTCTTCTACTTCTGGTCCTCATATACTTCGGCCCAAGTTAATATAGAATTTCTTGTACATGAAGGGTATAAAAGTATATGTATATATAAATCGTAAAAGACTCTTATGATGACAGCGATAGCCCAAGGAACTCTGTTCGATTCTTGTTGAGCACGTCTCACCCAGATCCATCCAGTTAAAGGTAGTTTTTCGAATTAATTTAATGAAGGGCCTCTAGAAATAAATTCTGAAATAATGTCAGATCTAAGTTAGGTTAGGTTGAACTAATCGACACAATAGAGAGTCTGCCATAGACGATGCTAACTGCATAGTGTTAACAGATGTATTACCCTTCCTGTGGTGTCTCTAGTTTGAAGAACCCGACTGTTTTTTTAGTAAATTCAAGCAGGTGTTTGCGGACTTCAACCACACCAGACCGAATATGCCTCAATTTATTCTCATCAAGTAAGATCTTCTCTGCCGGCAGAGCGCAGTCGCTTGAATTGGCTGGGTTATTAGCAACCTCTCTAACGAAATCAGAAGAATTTCTTGGATTGCAGTGAACTCCACTTGCAAAAAACTGCAGTGGTCTGGCAGAGGGAAGACACTTCTGCTATCTAATTTTGCTGAAAAGGCGACACTTCTCACTCGATTATCTAGTATTCGATTCGACAGTAGAGATGCTTAACGCTGAGTATTTGTCCGGCTCCTTTCTGCAGGTGAAGCCAATAAATATTAAGGGTTGAGTTTAAATTAATCAAAAAATTCTGAAGATTTACGAAAATCCGTGATATTGGGTAGAAGCAGGAACTAAGTGTGCAACTGATACCGAATACGCGGCCGCAGTAGCCGAATGGTTAACATCGCGTACTGCCATTCGGAAGGCCAGTGCTCAAATCATGGTGCGATCGACATTCAAAATTATAGAAAATTAATTTAAATAAAAAATCAAGTTTAATTTTCTAAATGCGGTCACGCCTCGCCAAGAGAAAGTCAACCCCTCCGAGTGTATTTCTGACATGAAAATCAAAGCTTCTCATGAAAAAGCCATCAGCCGTTCGGTAGCGGCTTAGCATAAATTGTAGGTCCCTCCATTTGTTGGAAGAAACATCAAGATACAAAACCACAAATTGGAGGAGGAGCGAAATATTCACTCAGCCATCCGACTGCGCCAACTTCGCTGTCAGTTAGCTACAGTACAAGTCTAAGTATGAGTCTGTTCTAAGAGCTCCATTGATGTTACTCCTAAGTGATGGATATATGTAGATATATTTTTATAATTTGTTCATCGCAGCAGCACAGCAGCAACCCTCGTATTCATGAAAAATTTATTATGTTTAAAATCAATCTTGTTTTTAATCTTCAAAACTACAACCAAATAATTTGTTATTCTTGTTTTTTTCTTCTCTTCCATTTCCATCGCCGCACAATAGTTAATCCATTGATGTTGCTTTTTAAGTCAAATTTTCATTTGTCAGTTCTGTGAACTGATTTATGTATGTATGTACGTGGACTGTTTGAAAGCGCCTTGAGGACGTAAAAAGAAGACACAACAAATACGCTGAACAACAACAACAATTGTGAAGACAGAGCCAGAGTCATACACGCACGCACCGTGCGCAAGTAGTTGTTGGCTTAACTCGTTAACACCAAGAGCCAGGCAAAGCGTGCGCTAAATATTTGTCATTATCATTAACGTGCGCGTATTAAATGTTATCGGCTGTTGAGAATTTCGGTGGCCCGTTGGTCGGACCGGCTGTTGCACTCTCACATCATCATCCTCATGCCGTCCACCACCTGCAAGCGCAACACCATCAGCATATCAACACAGCGACACAACATGAACGCGGCGGCGTTGGCTATGCCTTGGACATTATAGGCGCCGAGGGTAGTGTACGCGTTTCGGCCGCCGCTCCCACGTCAGCGACATCAGTACCCACTAGCTCTGCTGGCATCATTTCCGCTCAAGTACCGCTTACACCCAATCAGCTGACGCAATTGAATGCATTGCAAGCGCTTAAGCTACAACAACTGCAAGAGCAATACGAACAGCAACTGAGTAATTTTCTTAGCGCCTCCTCCGTCTCCACACAGTCTTCCACAGCGATTGCTGGTGGTGTGGCTGTGCCGTTGCCACATCGACCGCAGCCACAGGTGGCGGCGACGTTGAGTGAAGAACAGCAACAACAACAACAACACCACTATAATTTACAACACCAGTACCAGCAGCAACAGGAACACCAACAACAGCAGTTGCAACGTGAACAACAGTCAACCAGCGTCAATCTGACGCTGCCCCCTACAAACGCACCAAAGTACATGAGCTCGCCGCGCGATACCTCAACCATGATGCCACTAACAGAATTCACACAGCCACCAAAACCGAAACATGAACAACAACGCGCCGCCAAGGAGAATGTCCAATGCGGTGCTATGAATTTAGTCACAAGCTCGAGTAATACTTTCCCGAGCAGCACAAATCCATACCAATTAAACTCAGCCAGCAGTAGTAACAGTAATCCTGCCTCCATAGACAATAGTCGACCCTCCTCGACATCTTCATCGGTTGATGTCGAGAACGATGAGAGCATGTCGCCCGTCAGCACGAATGGACGTAAACTCTTCGATCCCGCGGCGCTACTGCCCGGTAACGCGGCACTAAAACAGCCCACCTATAGCGAAACGAGCGCCTCCTCAGCAGCTGCCGCTGTCGTTGCTGCCTATCAATATAATTACGCGCACTTGTATGGAGCTAGTGCTGGCGGCGGCGGCGGCGGACGACCAGTAACTGGTCTCTACAATGCGCCCGTCATATTTGCCGCTGCCGCCGCACATAATCAACACGTGCCACATGTGATACAGCATCCCAGCGCCGTGCACGGCCCTGCGTCGCCCGCCGCCTACCTCAACGCATTGGCGACACATACAGCGGCAATTTCGCCGACCGAAAGTGGCGTTTATTCTGCGGAATATTTCAAGGCGTTACAAAATGCTGTCGCAGCGGGTGTATTTCAAGCAGTGCCGCCCACCCACACAACACCCGTCTTCCCAATATCACCGCTCGCCAACAGTGGTAGTAGCAGCAATTCAACGCTACCGGCTACCGTCAGTATGCCAAAGACACGTCAACGTTGCGCCGCGACGGGTTCGATGCCAACGCAGGCGCCAATCGCGTCACCACCGGCAAAGTGTGAGCAACGTAATGCGACGACAACAAAGCTTTCCACTGGCACTTATCTGTATGAGAAGGCGAAAAGATCGCCACCTGACACGCCGTCGGATACGGAGAAATTCTTTAAGATACCCAGCGGCAAAGAGGGCTCGCTTAAGCATCGCATACTTACGCGACCACCGAGCGCTGACAAAACGCCAGCGGCAACAGCAGTCACGACGGCAAGTTCGGCGCTGGGCACGGACTCTGGCAAAACTCCTGTTATGCGGTAAGCTCTGTGAAGATTTGAGTTGAGTAATATTTTTTCTTGATTATAAAATTTTCTTTCACACAGTACGTACAACTCCACATCCAGCTTTAAGAAGGGTTCATATATCGAACTCTCAAATGGTTCACTGCGTCGGGTGGAAGATATGCGCACGGAGGATTTTATACAATGTGCTGAACGTAGTCCACACCATCAACTGATAGAGTCAACGGTGGTAAAAATCAGCGCCAGCCCAACGTCGTCCTCTGTAGTTATTGCATTTAGTTACGACCGGAATCAATCCAAGGTAAGAATTTGGGAAGAGCTTTACTCAAATAATGAACTAGCTTAGAGTCGTAGTTGCAATCCTTCGGCTAGTAGAAGCCACTGGTGCTCTGTTTCAGAATGGGATTATCCATGAGTATCGGCGCGAAACGTATCATATTCTCAGGCCTCCGTCCATACCGAGCGTCCGGATTTAAAATAATACCCCACCTTTTAAAGTCGAGCTAAGCTAACTGTAGTAGTTTCGGCTAGATCTACCAAAGTTGCATGCGACAGTAACTTGGGCAAATACTGAGGATCGCTTTTGCGGACTTACAACTGGTAATTGGTTGGCCGATAAGCCATAGATGCGAAAATTGCAGACTTATCGAAACACCGGCTTTGGGACCTTCTCATGAAGGCTCTGCGCCTCCTTCCCTGTGAAAAATCGTAGCTCCCTTCTCTGATTCTACCGAATGGACATCCCTATATATATCTACTTGAGGCTGATCAAGCCCCCGAGCACGTCGAGAAGGTAACATATGACTACATCAGCGTTATTTGAACACCAGCGAGATTAAGCTCTAATTAAAGTACCTCCATCTCTTTGAACCGAACCCTTTGAATCTGACTTTTAACTACGACAATCGTGCCAGAATTCTATTTTTCGAAGTTTGTGATGTCTTTTTAATTCAGTTTCCTTTCCTTCTTCCAGGTTGACATGGAGATCTCCACCGAGTATCCATTCTTCGTCTACGGCCAAGGCTGGGCGTCCTGCAATCCAGAATTGTCATATAAAGCTTTCGGTTTGAAGTGTCAACGTCTACAAGTCGGCGATATTTGCATTTCTCTTACCAAACGCGAACCACCGAATATTCATATAAACAATAATAACAACAACATAACTAGTAGTAATAATAATAATAACAGCAACAACAACAACAACAACAACAACAACAACAACAACAACAACAAGCCTACATATATACATGACCCAACAACGACGACAACAACAGCAACAACAACAACGCCCATAACAACAAATGAAACACATGGCGCCGAACGTGATCTCCAACCGCTCATACTGAGCGAAAGTGTCTACGCTACACACCTAAAGTCCGCCGGTATGTGTCCGCCACCAACCACCGCACAATATCAACTACTGCGCAGCCCACACGGTGGAACAGTGCATTTTATGCCACCACCACCCACACACCTGCTCGCCAATGCACCACCCACACCCGAAGCATACGCTCACTTTGTATTTCCCACGCCGCCACAACAGCAGCAGCAGCACCACCACCCACAAGTGTCATCGACAACAACAGTTTTGCATAATACGCGCATGCAACATAGCAGCGATTTAACCTCAACACCACCAATGATGAATAGCAGCAGCACAAGGCCAATGGCTGATGCATGCGAACAGTCGGCTGTAGCGACAGCGTCAGCGCGCAAACGTCGTTGGTCGGCGCCGGAGAGTTTCTCCAACAGCGAAGACGATGATGATGAGGATGCGCACGCGGCAACAGATTACCAACCACCACCAGTGAGGCAAAAATCAGCGCCAACTGCAGCGGTGAGTAGCAATTATAAGCCCTACTTACCGGCAACAAACATGAGATTGCCGGCAACTGGACAATTATACTGTGATTTCTCAACAAATTACAAATAGCAAAAGATCTCATTGTTGGCGTGTGAATCGCAACGAGTCAGGGTCGCCTGACCTTGTGCGTGTTGGGTGGTGTACGCTGGGCGTTGTGGCAATGACGCAGGAGACTGTTTATTTGATGAAACTCTTTTCATGTTGCATTTGTTCGATGGGAAGCTGCATATATTAGTTAAAAAAAAAAAAATTTTTACGCCTGCAATTTTACAACTCGTGTTAAACGCATGAAAGAAGCAACAATTGCCATATCGATCTTGTCGACCTCCATAATCCATGTTTAGAAAGTCAAAGGTAAACTGAGTGAGTTTGAAAACAATAATATTCGTGTATGCAAACTGGCGTTATTTATCATTTTATGCAAAAAAAAAAAAAAAAAAAAGCACAAAAATATACACACATATATAATTAAAAATAAGTGGATTAATTTTATGCAAAAAAAAAAAAAAAAAAAAAGCACAAATTAGAAACGCCGTCTGGCGCGCGCTTTTTATATTTCCTTGAATGCTTTTAATCAGATTCATTCAAGTGGAAAGTATAAAAGCATAATTTTCGAATTTTTAAAAGCACCAAATCACTTTAGTTTGTTTTTATTTTGCTTTGAATTTATGTTTTCTGCTTAAATAAAAATTAAATCAGAACGAGCACCCTCAGACATGTAATCAGCTGATCAGCATGCACGAATCGATATTTGCTACAGTTGTTTCCTTTTGCCATCAATTTCAGCGCGATGCTGCCATTTTTAAACTCACTTACATAAATCAAAATCTTGCTAAGATAAATTAATTGTTTAACTATCAAAAAACTGAAATTTAAATTAATTTTCGCTTAAATGAATTGGGGGAAGTGTAACCTAGAGGACAGCGGATTAATTAATTACTAATTTCTTTGAGTAAACACAAAGCCGAAAAATTGTATCATCAGTTATTATAGTTTTTGGTAAAGAAAATTCATTAAATTTTTTTTATATTAGTCTGAACAAATCATTAATTTTTACTCATAATTTCAACTTTTGCAATTAACAATTTTTCCGGTTAGAAAAAAAATTAATCAAAAAAATTAAATAACAGAAATTCTTGAATATCTTATTTTAATAATTTTTTTTTTTTTAATAAAAGAAAGTATTTAATTTTCAAGAAATATTTTATTATTTTAATAAAAAATTTTTTAATTCTTAATTAATTATTATTTAATGAGTTTTGTGTTTACTTGAGCGAAATTAGTCGAAAAATCGAATGTTGAATCTATCGATAATTAAACGATTAATTAAGGACAAAGCACTAAAACTATGAAATTTCGTTAAACTAACTTGATTATTGTGCGTCCATAAGTGTAATATACAACATGAATGTTTGACGGTGGTTCGGAAAATGTTTAAAAATTTGTGTCAAAAATGCTGATATTGAAAATCTGTATTGTATTTTTCATTTTTTTTTTTGCATATTAAACATAAAAAAGAGGGTTTCCAAAAATTGGTGTTCAAGGCTTTTACATACTTTTATGTACATACATACATATGTATGTATATGTATAAATATCATACAAAAGATCTCAAATTATATGAAAAAATGAAATATTTACAGTCTCTTTCGCCCAACAAGAATGAAAAACAACCAATATCTCGAAGCTTTAATTGAAAATTCACACGTTAAATTTAAATATAAACGTAAATATTGAAATATATAATATGTACTTGCTTAAGAGTTGTCAGCCAATGTGTTAAAAAAAAGTGTTTCGTTAATTTTAGGCAAAAAGTCGTAAAGTAATTTATTGTAAATACTTAAATAATAATAAAAAAAACATTATAATTACATATATACACATGTGTCATTATATAATAAATTAAATAAATCAATAATATTCCAGGCAAAATATATGTACATTATGTATGTATGTAGTAACCATGTCAGACTGTACATTTGAAATTATAGCCATATGTAATAATGTAACGTTATGTAATTAGTTATAAATTGTTTATGCCTAAATTGTTAAAATAAATGATATAGATTTTAGTTTTATGTAGATATAAATATTTATATATATAAAAATTAATATGCAATACGTACGTATATGAGTGTATATGTACATATATATATGTCATGTAAAAATTATATGTAGTCCTGCAACAGTCACTGCAATAAAGACTAAGTTTTAAATATAAATAACTTTTTTTATTTAAAAAGTCTGCTTCATACTCGAAAGCCTTGAAGGAATTCCCCCACCACAAGGTAAGTAGCGTAATAAAGTTGTTAATGATTCGATAAGAAAGCTAACGGCATTTATCTACATACATATACATAACCCATGATCGTCTTATCGATTGCAATATCTAACGTAGAAGTACAGAGTCGCACTCCACCTACTGCAGTGGACGTTAGTTGTAACGACTGAGTGCCTTGAACAGGTCGATCTTTGAAATGGCGGGATGAAAACATTCAATTCTCTTCTCTGCTGCAACCAAGCTCTAGTAATCCGATGATCAACGAATTATCGATTTTGATCGGAAATTTAAATTGCAGCCTTCGGTGGTGACGTTCAACTGGTCGGCTTCACAAATACTCAAACAACTGTGTCTCATGTAAGCGCAGCCTTAACCTGCCATGCATGCTATTAACCTCGCTGCTGGACTCGTTATCAACCTTTACTTAAAATAGTGGTTCTCACCGCTTCAAAAAGGCGCTATATGTGTACATAGGTATTTCCAAAAGTAGCTATAATTCTTAGCTTGAAATTCTGATCCATGTGAGCACTAAGCTATACGTATTAAGTATGTAAGGATCGTGAGCGAATTAGTGGGTCTCTCCCAGTGCTCATTTGGCAACAACACCGTGATTCTGACGAGGGAAACATTGGCCGCATTCCACAAGCAATTGTTGGTCTAAAAACCATCGCTAGAAGATGAGTGTTTAAAGCCATAAGCTCGATTTTGCCTTGTGTCTGAATGCAAACACTAAACTATCCGTCCTTTCTCGCTTATTTAGTGGGAAGAGCTTGAAATTCTTGCCCCACGCAATTTACTCTGACCCTCTTTACGAAGTAGGAGGATTAAGATACCAACTCTAACTAATGCCAAGTGGCTCCACACCACACAAGATCGCTGTTATTAGCTATATAAGTATGCGGACGGAATAAGAGAGGTAACAGAAATCCAAGCGGCTGTACGAAAACATCTAAATTTTAAATGCTGATATGAGACAGGGGAACACTGCTCCAGAAGATGCAGTCGGGTTTGCTTGTTAAATCAACTTATCTAACGACCCTCTCCGCTGAAAACGTAATCGTACCGTTAGTGCTTTGGAGGGCCTTACTGATGACATTGTCTGACTGTCACTATGAGGATTTAGAGAGTCGCAGCTATGATAACAGCAACAATTCCAACCATTTTACTGCAACTACCTAATAAACAGGACCTCCATGACACCTCCTTGGTAAAGGGTTTGAACATCTAGAAAGGTGTAAAAGACTACATTTCATAGACCTACCATAGATATCATATTGGGCCAAAAGGCCTAAGTGCGCATATTCAGAGTTCCGGTATCCAACCATCTCAATAACTAACTAATGTAGCTTAGAGAAATACAACATAAGTTTCATTAGCGTCCTCATCCCAATGTTCCTTGATTTGCCAATGTATGAAAGTTCTTAAGGATTTGCCCGGAAAAGTCGCAATCAACGAGGAGTATAATCCTTAGCACTCACTGATAATTTCTAGAGAATTTCGGAAGGTAGTAGTCTGTTGCATCTAAAGTCAGTTACCACTCGATCTTAAGATGGTCTGAAAAGCAATCTAAAATCAGCTTTCATACGCGCTCAACAAGTGAAAACCAGTTCCAACAAAACCGCGCATAAATGGTGTTTACTTTATTTGCCATAAACCCAAGAGTAAAAATCAAAATAATAAGTTTTGTACGCCTCAACCACCACAACGATACTAGTTTGGCCAATACCACCAGATGTCACATAAGCCTTACCATTGGAGTTACTTTGATATACATTGATTTCGACATACGTTATGGTGGCACCAGTGCCACCGCCGCTAGGATATCTCATGGTCACCTTCAAAGTGGTTAAATCATCATAGTCGTTGGTACTCGAGTCGGTCGCCACAACATCATCACCTGATGAGAATTCGGAAGAACACAAAAATGCATGACTAAAATAAAACATTAGCAATAGAAGTCCATTCACCTGTTTGTCTACCGGTACCCAGTGTATAAGTGATCATGCTTCTGCCGCGTGGATGCAGCGAGCGTCCTTCAATATATGTGCGTGTCGAATTCATTTCCACCGCATTTGGATTCGCCTTCAATAACTCATTCATCTCCTTCGGCGTAACTACCTTTACGCTTAACTGTTCTTCATCTCCCAATGCCTCGTGACGTATTTCCGCTGTGCTGATGCGCAATAGACACAGCCAGATAGCCACCAACGGGAGGCTTATCAAAGCGAGGCGGCAGTATTTCATTTTGTATCCAAAGACTTTTCACTTCATACGACTTTGACGTTCATTTGCACTCACAATTCAACCAAACGATCTGATGGGGAGGCTTATATAGACTTTTGAAATGCGACGCTTTGGCAGCCGGTGTCTAAGACGGTTATCTTTCGCCTTCCTTATCACACAACTACCAATTAATTTCGTTTCGATATACAAATATATGTATGTAAATTGCTTTGTTTTATACTGAAAAATTAATTAAACTAAATAAAAAAAGCATAAGCAATTAAATTGAGGGAATAATACCCCTTTATTGATTTCCATAAAACGTACCTTCGCCAAGCTCTCATCCACCCTCTTCGATGTATATAAATATGTATGTATGTCCATGTCTTCGTTTGTTATCACTTTATACCAGATAAAACAATGAATTTTTTATTTTTAGTTTCAATTCTATTTTTTTAACACTAAAACTTAGATAAAAGTTTTATCTTTGAAATTTGGTGTTTAAAGGTTTTTTTTTTTAAGATATGCGAAGGGATTAACAAAATCTCGGTAAGTTGACCAGAAAAAACAAACAACCAAATCTTTTTGTATTTTTATTCGTAATCTTTGTCCTTTTTTTTGGTTTCTCTACATAATCGAAATTGATTTCAATGCATTTCTCAAGCCTCTCGATCCACTTCGGAAACCAGTCTTCAAAATCTTGCTCTTTAAGCTCATCAAGTTCAGCATTAAATGCATTAATTATCTCCTCGTTGCTTTGTTTTTGGAAGTAACCAGAAATCACGAGGGAATATGGCGCTGAATGTATTTCTTTGATCCCTGAGATCTCAATAAAATTACTCGTGTGGGATGGAGCGTTGTCATGATGTGAAGAGTAGCGCCGCAAATACTGTTCTTTCCTGTTTTTCCCACAAATTTTTGAAAACTTTTAGTAAGCACTTTCGGTGTACCATCATCTGACCCTTTTCCGGTGGAGTAGCAGCTACGATTTTAGATCGGGTGAAGTAAACTATGGACTGCTGTTTGGTTTCTGGATCGTACTTATGAGAACCAAGATTCGTCAGCAGTAAAAATTTTATCAAAATTGCTAGATTTGCCATTTTCGTATTTGTTTAGGAAAAATTGAGCAAAATGCCAAGGAGCCGCTATTTGGGCCTCATTTAAAATTCGTGGTATCCATCGAGCAGATTTCTTCGTGTATCCCATATGATCACTTAATATTCGCAATACAGCCGTGGCATTCAAGCCCAATTCATTAGCAATCATTTCTTGTGTCAATCGTGGATCTTTGTCAATTTTGGACGTCAACAGAGGTACAGCGATGTCAACAGTTTTTGTATCTGGCTATTCTGTCGACTATTTCATGTAAAGTCTATGACTTGATTTACCCTTAAATAGGCATACTCCCACTCGGACGGAAGTGTACATTGAGGACTTAATGTATGATATTAATTATAGTTTTCTACAAATTTGGTTGTTGGTGAGAGCTTTCAGTTCTGGTGCCGGCTATTGGGGTCAATTGACGTTAGTTAAAAAAAAAAAATAACTGTCCAGGGCAAGTTCGATTAAATACTCCATTACTGACCTCAACTTATGGCGAGAACCTACTTATTAACTTATTAAAAGCCTTTACCCGGCTTGACTTAATTTGATAAATCCGTAGGTGAGAGAACTGATCAGAGAAAAAATGCCCTAAGGGTTTTCTTGAAAACCCTTAATGTTTTTATCCTTCAAACCCAGGCTGCGTTACATAGAGTTAATTTTTCTTGTTAGCGTAACGAATTGATGTCGTTGCGTTTTTGCTTGAAACAAATAGCAATTTATATCTGTAGTACACCCTGTGGTTCGTGTCTGTGCCAGGTGCTGCCAATTCATTAAAATTGATACCGAAATATCAATTATCGACTACGAAATTAGTCGAGTCTTGGTGTCGATTGTTATTTACATATTTCTAAATTAATCTATTTGTTTGGATTTTAAAATTCGAAACGATATGCAAACTTCATAATTAATGGCAAGATTTCAATAACTGATCTTTTTTAAGGTGTTACTTATTTGGATATAATCTAATTTTAAGCTTTTGGATTCTTTGCTCTGAAATTCGATTATTAGTTCGGTCTGCTATCAGTAGTGTATTACACTAGTTTCGCTCTCGCAAGTTTTCCAATATTTATTTCAAAGCTTCCTTATTCATCAATGGTGTCACTGAATTCAATTTCGCGAATAGATAAATAATAATGCTTAAATTAATTAATTTTTCTTGTGTAAATTTTCACCTTAATCGCTTTTCATTGCATGTTGTGAACAAATCAATTCTTGTTTTGATTTTTTTGAAATTCCACCAAGTGTGGCATCATCATCCAATTTGCATTTGTTGTTTTCGTGGCCTTATCTTGAACATTGTCGTGTAATTTTTGTGATATAAATTTGAGATATTCTATTCCAAACTGCAAGTTTTCTATCAAAATACTTTGTTAAACGAATGAGTGATGAGCGTAGAATGCAGGATGCTAGATTGGGAGGTAAAATATTGAATTGTGATGCTATTTTTGTATTGTATACATGTGGTGCATTTTCATTGACACTTCTTTCTTCTCTCCACGGTTGTCACAATTTTCTGGTGTTGTTAGGTTCAATCAACAACGTGCGAACCCAGCCCCATCATAATCATGTAGCATTTGGCGAGAAGCTGTCTGCACAAAAAATGCCCTCGATTGTTGGTACCCATATGTATGGGGAGGACATGAAGATTTCGAAGTTGTTGCGTCGTTTGCAAACTGAAAATAACGCGTCAGCTGCATTGGAATTATGTGACAAGTTGGAAATAGCGGTGCGTGCACAAGCGAATTCTACGTACATATGCCGTAGCTTCGATGTACTAATGGATAATATGCTTACAATACTGAGACAGTGTCCAGATGAGTGCTTGGCAAAAGCCAGCACAATAATGGGTCTAATGGGCTATATTAATCGCAACGATTTCCCTGTCTATAAGAATTATATTTTTAAAGCGTATCAAGCGCATCATTCAATTAGAAAATATGTAATGTTCGCGTTGAAGACAACCTTCAGGTAAATTTGAAATGTTTAAATGTTATGTTCTCAATACTTTTAACATTTATTATTATAGCTGTGATGCTGTGAATTTGGATTTGTCTGTATACAGTGAACGTGTTTTAGTTGCATTAAAAGACTATTTGGAAAATGCTGAAGTGGCGGATGTCTTTATAGCTGTCAGCGAGACAATTGGTGAATTTTCAAAACATTACAAGCGTGCATTTGCGGCGCATTTTATGGATATTGTAGATATCATTGTCGGTTGGCATTTAGAGGTAGAACAGCCAGCTAACCTCAAATTGCATTGTTCGGTGGCGTTACAAAATCTGGCGCCATATTTCCTGAAGGAACTTGATTTTACTTTTCGACTTTTGGGACAATTTCTCGAGGACATTGTGGCATTGGGCGATGAAATTGAACATGGCCCATCGCCGACTACTTCACCGATTAAGGAAAATGGCTTACAAAGTCATCAGAGTAAAGTGGAAGTGCGTGTTGGTTGCTTTATTGGTGCATTCAATTCAATATTAAAATCATTATCGAATCGTGCTGAATTTGTTGGTATGATTGTTGGGGAGAATATTGTAAATGAAGCTGCTATTACAATTTCAAAAACAGCTGAACAAACATTGAATGTAACATTGGTTAGTGATGATACGATTATGAACATCAATGATTTCTTCACTCTACTCTTCACCAATAAAAGCGAAACAATAAATGGGGTGAATATTGAGGAATTAATAGCACTGCAAATGAAACAACTCCATTATTTTAGCGATGCGCCCAAATTAAGTTTACTTTATTTGATACTATGCGTATTTAGGCAGTTGCGTACAAAACTGCCTTTATCCACTGTGACTTTGGTTTTTGAAACCACACATAATCCACTTGCCATCATCAAATTTACGAATAATGATAAACTGCGTCGTCTATTTTTAAAAGTTTATCATGAAATATTGATGATAAAAAATGTACCATTACTACAGGAGGCTTATCGGCATATCACCGCTGATATGTTGAAAGCAATTGCCACGCTGGAGGAACATGACAATACAGCTACCGGACGCACGAGTAAAGTCTTGCAAGCAGAGTTAACACTTAATTTCTATTTAACCGCTTTGTCGGCGTTAGCCACACAAACTTCATCAATTATCAGCATGTATGCGTTGCATCCTTCGATATTAGAGTTGCTTATCACACGTTGTAAAGCTGGCGCTATGCATTTGTGGCTACGTCACCCTTCGCTGCACCACGCACTTCTAAATGTGCTTGTTGATCATTGCCAAAAGAATCACAACTTTCTGCCTACATCTCGTCTACTAATAGAGCGCTTGTTTGCGCCGAAACACGCTTTGGATGACAACAATTCGCCGACATCTGAGAACTTTACTTTGATTTTGCAATTTCTTGTTAGTATTTTATCAGCAGCAAATGACATGAATATTACTAATTTGGATTTATTACTTGATTGGGTAGCATGCCTCTTGGTAGAGTGTAAGGGTAATGCAGTTGTGCTAAAACAAAACGAAAACTTTGTCACCATATGCAAATCCATAAGTCAGGCCGTGCCTGTGTCGCCTATGAAATGTGCGCAATGTATAGCAATCTTGTTAGACTATACCACAATTAATAGTGCAGTGCTGGAGTGTTTCCGTCATGTGGCACTACTCATGCTTGACGCGTACGATACTGATGTGCGTTGCGAATACACCCAAATACTTGGCAAATTTTCGCTCGCCACTTGTCTGACCACGGTGCGTTTGAGCAGTGAAATTAGTATGGGCAAATCTGAACTTAACGATCTAATGCACTGGTATCGCTCCACCACTTACTATGCCCCTTTGCGCAACAAGTATTTCAAATCGTTTCTAGAACGTATGGAACCTGACACTACACCCGCTAATTGCGAACCGCTTCAATATGCCATGGAAGTGTTTTCCAAATGTTGGATGGCTTGTTATCGCGAAAACTCGACAAGTTACGAAGTAACGGTTAAGCGTAGCCGTCGTGCACTTGCGCTCTGGTTGGAATACGAAGCAGCGCGTCAGTGTGTGCGCAATAAATTACGTACAACTATTGGCAAGCCGCAGGAGACCTTTCTGGCCATAGAGGCGGTGATTTCAAAATATGCGCGCATGTTATCCACCAAATCGGGCGCTGCTACTGGTGGCAATGTAAGCAGTAAATTTACATTTGCGCATTGTATGTCCTTGCAACGAAATACGCGCATGCTGCTTAATTTCATTGATTGTTTGGAGAAACATATTTTTAATGCTGCCGAAGGTACAGCTTTTGCTATACCAGCGCTCGAGAAGCCGGTGAAAACTTTCTTCCGCATCAACGCTCACACCTGCAATGAGTGGTTGAATCGCATACGGCCAAGCGTAAATCTAATCGCAATGCACAGCATGATGCCGGAGTTGGTCATACGTAATTCTGAGGTGAGTTAGATGTTTTAAACGAAAGTTTTCTTAAATTTTGTTCTTAAAATTTTTCATTTCATGTATAGGTCATACTTCGCATGGACAAATTGAATGATGTGCAATTGGATCATACCATTATTACGCTCGTTTGGGCTTTGCTATGCGCCGATGAGCCTTGCACCCTGCAAGGACTCTACGTCTGGCTTAAATCCCGTCATCCCAAAGCCGCAAAACGCTGCGTATGGATTTTATATGTCGCCGAGCAGGCCATTGGTCGCAAAGAGTACGCCGCGGATAGCTACGAGGCATTTCTCACCGAACATGACGCTAATTTGGATGCGCGCATCAAAGAATTTGTTGTGGATCAGTTATTGTATTGTTTGCACTACACCACTCAGTGGGCGCGATATCGTCGTGTGCATGCGCGCTATAAAAACGACGAGAAGCTCGATGATTTTAATTTTGAAACTGCTGAGGCGTTCGTGAATGATTATGAGAGTGAGGCAAAGCGTAGTGATTCGTTAAAGGAAGTCATTATGGATATGACAGGTTGGCCGCGCGGTTATTGTGAAGATACACAAGTTCCGGAAACATTTTCTTACAATCATATTACACATCAACTACAAAATGCCTGTATTTTGAATGCGCTAAAATATAGTTTCATTTCGCCACCGCTCAGGTACGATGTGCACGAGTGTATAAAGAGTGGCGTGCAAGAGTTGCCTTATCACGGCAATTTGCGTGTCGGTGAACATCGCAATGCGCTCACCGAGATGCTTATACTAAATCATGTGGCGCAAAGGCTAAGCGAGTTGCCAGATATGGAGGCGGGGAAGTTAAATGAACCACAGACCACAAATAATACTGAAAAATCAACGTTTTTACTGAAATCTCTAGTGTGGACTTTGATCCTTGAGAGGCGTTTGGGTTCAACCCCCCAACCGACGCATCACCATTCTCTCTACCTGGATGTAGCGAATAGCGCACGCCGCGAAGGCAACTCTAGCTTTTGTCGTTCTATGCTTCAACGCTTTTTCAGCCTTAAAGGATTCAATCAGTCGCTCTCAGAGGTTGCGCGTCAGCTGCGCGAGGGTGAGTACAACGTGAGTGTACATGATACCGATTTGGTGCGCGGTTTTAGTGAGTTGACGAAATGCTCTTATGTAAATTCGGCCAATCAAATGAGTGCTATTAGCCTTGGAGCCGCCTATTGTACACAAATCATACAACAAGTACAAGAACAACCGCATGCTAATTACCCACCAAGCAGCGGTGATATGCTGCTCACCTTAGCCGATTGGTTATCGCCCAGAGTTGCTGGTTCTACCACCTGTTGCAATACCTCAGGCCCGAGTGTAGTCAATAATAATGTGAACGCCGCATTGGCTTTAGGTGAAATGCAAGAACTGTTGAAGCATTTGCCAGATGTGTCAGTGCATTTGGTGCAGAAGAGCGGCGACGATTCGGTCAATACGCTTATACCGCCTGCGGAGAAGGCGATCGGCAAACTCATCAACGCCAGCATCTGTCAGTCGAGCAATTCGTGTGATGCTTGGTTCGCCTACGGCAATTGGTGTTATCGTTGGGGTAAACGTTTGATGGAGGCAAAGCATACGAATGAGTTGAAGAGCGGTCTGCCACAGCGCGATATGGATGCCATACGTAAGATCATCGGCTGTAATGTGAGTGATGACTCAATCAATCAGATTGTGAATGTGTTGAACGGGCAACCGTTGAGCAATGTCGATGCGGAGGAGGACATTGAAAAGAGTGAACTGAGTTGTAGTGAATTAATTGAGCACGCTCTGCGACGATTGGATGTGCTGGCCGACAAACCATCGGAGCAAATAGCGAGCATCATAAAGATATGGCGACAAGCGCATCGCAGCGTCTATGTCTACTACGAAATGGCTACCAAAGCCTATTTCAACTATCTCTCAATTGGCAACGCTCAGTGCGAGGCGAATAATGCAATTAGCGATTGTACGCCCGTCACCGTTACGCTGCGTTTATTGCGTCTGATTGTTAAATATGCTGCAGGTTTGCAAGACGTGTTGGAGGAAGGCTTGCGCACCACGCCACTACGACCTTGGAAAGTCATCATACCGCAGCTCTTCAGCCGTCTCAACCATCACGAGCCGTATGTGCGTAAAAGTGTTTCGGATCTACTCTGCCGTTTGGCGGAGGATCGTCCGCATTTGATTATTTTCCCTGCCGTCGTGGGCGCTCACCAAGAGTGTAAAGAATCTACACCTATATACGGCTTCAGTTCGAACAAAGATAACAGCACTACCAACAATGGAGAGCAGAAAAGTAGCACGCAGCTCTCCAACTGCTTCCGTTCTCTGCTGCAGACGCTTTCTCAGCAGGCGCCGGATACGGTTGCACATGTGCAGTTGTTGGTGAAGGAGTTGAAGCGTGTCACATTACTCTGGGAGGAGTACTGGGTGCACTCGCTTTCTCAACTCTACAGTGAATACGCGGCGCTCTTTAACGCCTTAGAAACGGAACTGAAGAAAGCCGGCGGCAAAGTCACAGAAAAGATCACTTCAAAGTACGCCATACTCATGAATCATGTCGTCTATGATATGCAACGCATTGCCGCCGTCACCGCAAAATCAGCAGACACCAACTATGAGCGCAACTTCCAAGAACGGTACAGCACGCTCATCGCAAGCACCATAAATGAGTTGAATCAACCCTTCAATCCGGCCAAACCGTTCGATGGCTGGCTGCGCATTAAGCAATTATATGGCATCTTCCAACAACGTTCCCTTCGCAGTTACACATCCTCACTCAAAATTGCCGATCTGAGTCCTGCGTTGGAGAATATGCGTAATACAGCCATATCTATGCCGGGCGTGGATACATACGCTAAAGATCCCGTCTACATAAGATCAGTAGACAGCGCAGTGCATATTTTACCTACGAAAACCAAGCCGAAAAAGCTCGCATTCTATGGCAGTGATGGACGCAAGTATACTTATCTGTTCAAAGGTCTAGAAGATCTGCATCTCGACGAGCGCATTATGCAGTTCCTTTCCATATCCAATTCCATGATGGCACGTGCAAATACGGGTGTAGATTCTCGCGCCTTTAAAGCACATCACTACTCTGTCATCCCGTTGGGCTCACAATCCGGTCTAATCAGTTGGGTTGATGGCGTTACACCACTCTTTGCCATTTATAAGAAATGGCAACAGCGCGATGCTGCCTTGAAGCAACAACAAAAGGAGCGTCAAAATGCGCAATCGATTGCTGGCCAAACATCAGAAGTACTACCCGCCGCCACACGTCCCTCAGAATTGTTTTACAGCAAATTGACGCCATTGCTCGCTGAGCAAGGCATGAAAATCACCGATCCTCGTAAACAATGGCCACTGCCCATATTACGGCGCGTGCTGGAGGAGTTAATCAAAGAGACACCACGCGATTTGCTCGCCAAAGAATTGTGGTGCTTCGCCAACACAGCTTCGGATTGGCGCAATTCGGTGCGCAATTATTCGCTATCCATGTCGGTTATGTCCGTCATTGGTTATGTCATTGGTTTGGGCGATCGTCATTTGGATAATGTTTTGATTAACTTGACTTCGGGCGAAATTGTGCACATCGATTATAATGTTTGCTTCGAGAAGGGCAAAACATTGCGTGTGCCCGAGAAGGTGCCTTTCCGCATGACACCTAACTTAGAGGAGGCGTTGGGTATAACCGGAATTGAGGTGAGTGGAAATGATTCATTTCGTAAATATGTTAGTTTATACAAATGAAATGTGTTAGGGGAGCGTGAGTTTGAGACTGACGATTGACGTACGTACTTTGTGAAAGAGTTGATTAAGTACTATTCTATTCTCGGCACAGACTGTCTCCGAAGTCTTAAAGTACTATGGACGCAGAGAATTTATGTTTAGTTCCTTGAAGTCACTGCTGTATTAGGTGGCCGGAACCCCTTTGTATGAGCTGTCTTGAAAAAGATGTCTCACTTTCCTGAGATACCAGATCATTCCTCACCTGATCTTTTCACCGAAGTGGAGATCTTTCTATTCTTCTGTTGCCGCTAGCAGATACTGGGTCGAATACTTTCAAAGCTGGATTGCTCTCATCCATATGGATAGCAATAACAAGAGCGTGAACATAGCCTCAGGGTGTTGTTTGTTTAAACTCGAAAACTCATATTGCCGTTTCATCAGGGCTCTGCATCATATAGCGGGACGAGATGGCCCCGTAGAGAGAGTACTTTACTTTTACCTAATCAGTAGCAGCTGTTGGCAAGAGTGAGTCTGCGTTGGTTTTCAAGTCTGAGATTGCTGTGTGATGGAGGGAAAAAGTGACGTAGAAGCGGTCCTTTTCGTGCTGACACTAAAAGCGGTGGTTTGTGTCGATTCTTCTCTCCTCAGCTGTCGGTATCCTTCACACACAGCGCTCGTTGCGGTCGATGGCAACGTTGGGGCGTAGACAGCTTTTTTTCGGCTGCCGTATGGTACTTCTCTTCGTACCAGTTCTTCCTTTGACCGTGTCGAAAGCTAGTATTCGCGTGGCGTATGTACGTAATGCCGTTTCAAAGTTCCGTTATATCGAGTTAATCATGAGTGCTTTCAGATAGCAGGAGTGCAAGTTTAGTGTTCAATCTCGACTCTCTTTGCATTTGTTGACATTCGTTTCTGGCTACTCAGAAGCGGGTTCATATCTGGTTACTAACTAGATGGTGGCCCTAGTCGATTTTAGGACCCCGGAGAGTATGTACATCTATGAGACTGGAGTCTTTCCTCGATCCGGTGACAGCCAATTAGCTTGATGATTTTTCTTTGTGTCGGAATCAGATATTAGAGATAACTGACGAAGTTAAACAACCTCAGCCAATTAAAAGATGGCTCGTCGTGGGGGTTGAACTTTCCAAACGATTTCTGCATCCAACCTTATATTAAAATCGATATGATCGTCCACCAGGGTGAATGATAGTACTGAGTTGTCTGAGTCTCTCTCCCATCACAAATCAAATACTCACGTCTCTTGGTAATGACTACCTAAATTTTACCCCAGACAACAAAGAGCTGGGAAACGGTTACTTCCCAATTAAGGAACCGAACATTTCAAATATATATATATATATATATATATATATATATATTATTTGCGCTTTGTAACCCCTGAAGCGATTTTCGCTTGAGCTGCTGCTCCAATTTGTGTTTTTGCGTTTGATGTTTTTCCAACATGTGGAGGGACTTACAGCTCATATTAGGCCACCTCGGAACGGCTGATGGTTCTTTTATGAGGAGCTTTATTCCATGTCAAAAATACAGTCTGAGGGGTTGACATTCCCTGCCGAGGGGCGACCGCAATCAGAAATTTAAGCTTAGTTTTTTATTTAAATTAATTTTCTAAAACCTTTTGGATGATAGTACGACACCAGTCAATGGACTGGACCACTCCGCTACAGCGTTTTGATATAACCCCACAAAAAGTAGTTCAGCGGTGTTAAGTCGTAAGAGTTTGGAAGCCACGTGAAGCCTTCTTGTTGGAACCAAAGGTCGATCACATTAACATCTGCCGATTCAGGCACGAAAAAGTCTTTAGTCATGGCTCCATAGTGTTCCCATTTGACTGTTACAGCATGTGCGGCTTTATTTTTTAGAGGTAACTTGGCCAAATGATTCCCTCTGCCCATAGAACATACCAAACAACGTGTTTTCGTGGATGTAACGGCGTCTAAACAATGACTTGTGAATTATCATCACTCTAAATACCATATCCATTTCGGATTTGGATCACCGAACGTGCGACGCGCTTGATGGTCCATAAAGTGTATGAGCACAGTCCCAACTGTTGCGCGCGTTGGCGTTTGGACGCATTCGGGTCTTCTTCGATACTCTTCTCTACAATAACAATAGCGTCCGTCTTCGGTGCGCGCTGTACGGTGTCTCTGAGGATGGGCATTATACACTAGAATAAACGTGGTGCGTAACCATTGCATGGTGGCTCGAATTACCGACTCTGCTGGGCGTCTATGTCGACTGAATGCTGGACGTTGTTACGGACATATTACATACATTTAAGGAGAAAATACGAAAATAATCTTGTAATATTAATGAAATTTTTTATTTGTCCACTTTCGTGACTTTTCCATTAGTCTAATATTTATTATACTTATTCTAAATATTTCTGGCACTCCGCCTCAGTCATATCTACACTACTCTCGCTGCATCCGCATCAACCGCATCACCCAACTCACTTTCATTTGAGAGTTCATTAACTTTGACCGGCGCAGGCAGCGGCACCGGTATCACTGCTATTGTAAGCGCGCCACTATACCGTCGCTGCAGGCACTGCGCTGAGTCTCCGCTATGTTGGTGGCGCACTTCCGCCTTGTATGGTTTGTTATAATTGGGATTTTTGCAACGCAGCAAACGCCAATAGGCGCAACGGAATGTTGTATTCTTCCAGCAATAAATCAAGGGATTCATAGCGGAATTCATCATTGCCAGAGAGAAAGCCATTTTGTAGAGTGTCAGTGATATGGTGCAAATCTTTAGCATTTCCATACAAACAACAACAAAGTATGTGAGCCAGCAAATCGAAAAGCAGCCCATAATGAATATGGCAACCTGTGAATGAGAGATGAGAAGAAGAGGGAAAAACAAATCAATATTGTGCTCAGTAAGGACGTGCAGGAGGTGTGCAAGGGTACCTGAATGACAGGCACAGAAAATGTGTCACCAAACTAGCAATAATTATTTGTACAAGTTTATTGTATATGTTTTATGCGGCGTAACTTTTTATGACAGCTTCAATATTTATTATTTATTTATTTGACAGCGATTTATTTTATGCAGTTTCACTGTTGTTGTTGTTGTTATTGCTGTCTTTGATAATATAGAAGTATTAATAGACGCCATTGATAGAAAAAAGTGCCATTTCGTATTGTTTTATGGTCGAGATAACGGCTTGTTTGTTGCCTATTTACAGGCGCATTAACGGCTTACACAGCAATGTACACATACGGGCAGTTAAATAGGCACACTTCTCATTATCTGCGGTGAGGGTAGTGATTTCTTGGCATTTAACTCAATTATTTTTCATATTTTGATTAAATTTTTTTCCTTTTTTTATTTACGACTGAAAATTGTATCAATAATGAACTTTAAGCCTAACGTACCACATAAATATCTCGAAAAATTACCACCAGCTTGCATTCAAATATACAGATAGGCAGTCAGATTACAATGGATAGTTCAAATCATCCTATCAGTATAATTTTCCATTTTCTTTCACTTCTCCTTACATCTTCTGCTTTGTCCTGGACACTGCTTACGACCTGAATTAATAGTAGTCGTGCCCGCTTTTATTTGTACCGGGCCAATTGCAGACGCCTGGTCATTCTTCATCTGATATATCCAACGGAGTAGAAAACTTTTAAAACTGGTTTGTTTGTCATCAATACGAACTACACTCGCTGTGTTAGTCTAGGCGCTGTCTCTTGATTAAATGCTATCGTATTTCCCACCGTTCCTCGCCTGTGGTTTTTATCATAGCTAATAAGCAAAGATCCATACATTTTCGCAAAATGTTTTCCCCCAAAGAATTTCACGCACCAATCCAGCGGCTGTTCACATTGTCTACACTGTTGCAGCAGATAGCAGAACGCCAATTTGGAGGGACTCGTAGAGTTTGCTTGTGGTTAGTCTAGAGTGGACTTTATTTATCGGTGTACAACTTTGCTTCCGCCGTTTTCCGATAGGTGGCTGTACCGGCTGTGGCTGCTTGAAATACATAGATGATAATGCCTTTAAAGTGAGTGCGGACAGTGCCTAACGAATTGTAATCGCCGTTTCAGTGACAGTTGTTTTTGTTTTTGTATTATTCACACTCGAAAATGTCCGTTTATGTGCCTAATTCTCGCCATTTGCGGGAAGTTTTATTTTTCTGTTAAAATTCGAAAAAAAAAAAAATGCAGCTGAAGCGCATCGTAAGGGGTTTTTACATCGAATCGTAACCGATGATGAAAAGTGGGTTCGATACGATAATCCTAAACGCAGAAAATCATGGGGAAAGCATGCTTCTTCGTCGAAGGCAAAACCGAATATTCACGGCACCAAGGTTATGCTTTGAGTTTGATGGGATCAGCTCGGCGTGATTTACTACGAGCTCTTAAAACCGGGTGAAACCATCACAGGAGATTGCTACCGAACGCAACTGATGCGCCTTAGTCGCGCGCTAAAAGAAATGCGGCCACAATATCAAGAGCGACATGACAAAGTCATCCTCCAACACGACAATGCTAGGCCTCACGTCGCAAAAGTGGTCAAAAAGTGCCTGGAAATGCTGAAATGGGAAGTCTTGCCCCACCCGCCGTATTCCGCAGATGTCGCCCCTTCGGACTCCCACCTATTCCGCTCGATGGCACACGGCCTGGCAGATCAACATTTTCAATCCTTCGAAGAATTGGAAAAATGGATTGCTTCATGGTTAGCGTCAAAAGAGGACTCCTTTTTTCGAGCCGGGATCCGAAAATTGCCGCAAAGATCGGAGAAAGTTGTCGCTAGCGAAGGACAATACTTTGAATAATATATCTGTAAGCACTTTTTCGCAATAAAGCTTTTAATTTTGGAAAAAAACGGCGGAAGCAAAGTTGTCTACTCATTCCAAAGTAGCGCTTGTTGCAACTGGATCTACGGTCACAGTCAATAGTGATGTTTGGTCCAAGAAAGCAGTTTGTTTGGTGCCGAGATATTTCGTCTTGTCTTCGTTCACTGACATATTCATTCGTGTTTTACTACCAGAGAAAGCAAACCTAAATTTCTGGTAGGGTTTAAAACCTCGCTGATATCTTCCAATGGGTTCGATGTTGATGGTATAGTCTTTTACACAGTAAAGTTGATAGAAAATCATCTGCGGTTTTGCGGTAGCTTATTATACAGTATGGACTATGGGGACCCCTTTTTTGGCAGAGCATATATTCTATCGTTGTCGATTGAGGATTCGTTTTCTTTTTGGGTTCTACATGAGTATGTTCCGAACTGGAAACCTTCTTGTAAGTCGCCGCAATTTTTCATGGAATATGCGGACATTCTTACTGTCGACCAGCTACTAAAGCTCTTTATATCTACATATCTTTTGACCTCTCTCTTCTTATCTCTGCAAATGTGTCTTGCTTTCCTCTTTCTTTTTAACGTATATGGCGTTCTGCGTTCACTGCGTGTCATGTGGAGTCGTCTTCCTCTCTGCGTGAGAGTTACGCTTCCATTGGTGTTGCTCTGACTCCAATCCATTGGAATCTCGGACTTGGAAAACCCCATGATTTATTTTTGAAAAGTCTCTCCATCCTCAACGTGTAACTTCTTGGTGCGGTTTATGGTCCGGCGGCGTCATTGGACCTTACTTTTTGGAAAATGTAGCTAAAGCAACAGTTACGGTGATTGGGTTGCGCCATAAAGAAAAGCTGAATGAGTTTTTGTGGCCGGAATTGATTGATATTTAACTGGATAAATTTCAACAAGACGGCGCTACGTGCCGCACAAGCAACGAAATCGTCAATTTTAAAGTGAAATTTTTCCGGATTTTGGGGCCATGTGAAAGTTGTAGTCTACACCAACAGACCAACGTCGATTCAAGACCTCCAAGGTGGAATTCGTGAAGCTGCTGAGGGCACACAACAGTCACTTTGCGCTTTGATGAGGAGAAATTTTATCAATAGGATACGGTCCCGAGCTTTTCAATACTTTGGCTATAAAACTTCAGATTTTGAATTTAACATTTTTTTTTTGTTTTACTAAATATGCGTTCCTATTTCCATGCCCACATGTGTACATTATTATTATATTTATTCAAGCAACGTTATTGCTGTTTAATCATCGACCTCAAAAGCATCGAATTTATATATATATATATATATAATTATACATATGTATGTAGGTAGGCCATATTTTCACTATTTCCACACTCACCTGCATCGATTTCCAATCCGGCATACGCAACGCTTGTCTGCTACTACCCCAACTCTGCACTTCACGCTTGCAACGCGATTGCGCTGACTGCTTAGCCGCTTCACGCATTATACGCCAATAAATCAAAAGCATAAGCGACCAGACCAATACAAAAGCTGGCGTTATGATACCCGCCATGTACCAGGTGGGCAACACTTCATAGAATTCGCATTCAATTGCCGTTTTGAAACGATTATAAAACAACGGTACAGTGGCCACGGTAATGCCAGCACTCAGATTGACGGCGATGATGATGCAGGCGACGCGACGCGTCATGAAACTAGAAAGATAAATGGTAGGTAAAAGAAATTTTTGGTATACCCAAGGAAAATTATGCTTCAACCAACGTCAAGCCAACTCACCGTCGATAATGCAAAGCATAGACGATCGCTATATACCGATCCACGGCGATGGTGATGAGCGTCAATATCGACACGCAACAGCTGAAGATCATGAGGAAAAACCGCAGCATGCACAAAATTTCCGATTGACCCAAATTGGAGCCCACATAGAAGGCGATGTGATAGGGCAGCGTTATGCCGACGGCAAAGTCCGATATCGCCAGCGTTAGTATGAACGTATTCGAGATTAGGCGGCGCAAGCGACGGCAAGTGATTATAGCCAAAATGGTGAGTGCATTGCCGGCGAGTATGCAGGCCATAATCAGTGTATTGCAGGTGGCCCAAAAGATGGTCGCCTCACCGATGGCATCGATGATGTTGCTTGTGGCCGAGGAATCTTCAGCTGGCGTTGTTATCAATGCTATTGCTGTAGTTGTTGCAGCTGCTTCAAGCGGCACCGAAGCGGTGTTGGTTGTTGTTTGCATTTCAAATTCCATATTTGTCATTGTTGCTTCTATTTGCACTGGGTGTTGATGTTGTTGTTGTTGTTGTTGTTGTTGAGATTGTAAATATGTAAATGCGTGTAAATTACATTTTTCTTGAAGATCATCGACTGCGTCAAGCTTGTGATAATATTTTAATAACGTTAAAAATGTCGTCGCTGTCATTCAAACACACCAAAAAGCACCAAAACACCGTTACGCTTGTAGCTAAAAAAACCCAACAGTCGCTGAAAAAAGCGCGTATTTCACCGATATGCCGCAACTCGAAATCTCTATCGTTTAAACCGCTCGGCAAGTGAAATAAGACTGTGCTCAGTGTCGTCGTGAAATCGCACACGAGGAAGTTTCGTGGGATGAGCGTACGCCCGTAGTGACACTGCCGGTTTTCCCACGCTTGGTTTGCATATCTCGCCATTTCGCAAATATCCACTTATTTGTTGGTGTAAACAACATCGGCGTTTCGTTCACTTTTATCTATTTTTTTTTTCTACTTTATTGATGATGGGATGAGGGGATTCTCATTGTTTGCTAAGCTCGTAACAACATTTGATCTGCAGTCTGGTCTGATGAATTGTTGGATTAAATTTCAATATGTTTTTCATAAAGGAATAGTTAGAGTAAAATGCGTAAGTAAAGGGTGTTTTTTCATAGACAAGTTGCTATCAACAAGAACTAACGTAAAATACTCAATTTCATGGCCTTGGAATTGGCTTATTAAAAAGATGGGGGTTTGCCATTATGTTTTGAATGAATCCCAATTTTCGAACAGTTTTAGCAGCAAAATGAAAGCAGTTCGCTCTGCACCTGATCCTTCCAAAGGAGTGCATGTCTTTTTCTTCCTTCTTCTATTTTTAAAGCTGCAGTGCTTCCATCCACTGTCTCTTTATTCGCTAAACTATTTCAATGTCACGGTAAAACTCGTGCAGCTCATCGTTTCTACGGCTGCGGTTTCAGCAAACATTATTCGCAAACATCTCACCACTTTCGAGTGCTTCATTTGCACTGCCATTTAGCAGGCTTGTGAGCTGGAGAAGCGTTTGATTTTCAGTATACTAGGTAACCGTAACTAGTTCACCTTTTTGGGTCCAATATGAGTATGTTCCGGTCTTGAAACCTTTTATAACTTGCCACAATTGTTCCAACCTCTTGCCGGCCTCTTGAGCTCTTCATACGAACTCAATCTTTCTGTATTAGGAAACCAAAAAAAATAAAAAATAAAAACAAAAAAAATAAAAAAAAAAAAAATAAAAAAAAAATAAAAAAGAAAATAAAAAAAAATAAAAAAANATTTACTTCGCTGCTTTCGTCAAAATCAAAACCACTGAAACCTGTGTAGATTCCTCGAGGAGGAAAAAACATTATTTTTCAAAAAAAAATTAAAAAAATTTAAAAAAAAATAATTGAAAAAAATAAAAATTAAAATAAAAAATAAAAATTAAAAAAAAAAAAAAATAAAAAAAAAAATAAAAATTAAAAAAAAAATAATAAAAAAAGTAATAGATGTGCTTACCTTTAGAATATTTAGAATTTATCGTAATTAGGGCTCTAAACCATGCACGTTTGCCTGAAATCAGACGAGTGAGTTTACTATTTAAGATTATATTAAATTAGAGTATTAGTTGAGGGGAGAGAGGATTCCAGCCGGTGGGATGCCTCAAACTTAGTGAAAATTACACTTTGTTCTAAAAGTGATCTCCAGAGTTTCATTGATTGTGCCTCGTAAATATATTCTAAATATCGAGGAAAACGCTTAGTATACAAACTTTGTAAATCTTCGTCACACTATCAGGAAGTATGGACAACAGGCTCCCTAGGAAAAATTGTCCTACTGGGAAAGGTTACTCCCTGAAAATCAGAACAATGTTGTTGCTCAGTGGTTATCTTACCTCGCTTAGTAGTAAGCAAATTCGGGGTTATCATAGAGGTCTTGCAATGGAGTCATTCTGTTGGAGGGATAATTTTTAAAAAACGTTGCTAGATGAATAGGCTTAAGGGACATGCGCTGGGAAGCCTGGTGACTGGTGATCATTGTCTCTGTCCTCCGAAAATGAAATTCGAAAACTTTTTGTCTCAAAAGCTAACGGTGTTAAGACCGGTGAAAAAATCAATGAATATTCAAGTTGGCCTCTACCATTGAAATATAAAATATTTAGTATTCTATGTATTTCTATTTATTATATATATATAAAAACATGTACAAATACATATGTATATTAATTGACTAACCTTTGTTCTACGAGAACCTTATCTTAGTGATATAACATTTTGTGGGTATTAAATGTAATATTGACTGAGAACAATAAGTCATTCTTATCTGTTGCTTAATCACTAATCCCCAATCAATTATCATGGGGGGTATTTATGGGAATTTGTTTTTTTTTTTTGCATATTGCGAGAAGCGTATTACATATGAAAGGATTTAAAATAAACATCAGCTAATTGTTTTCATTAATATTTTTCCAAAAAATGTATCTTTTTCTAGGGCACTTATCGCCTCGGCTGTGAGCATGTGTTGAAAATATTGCGCAAAGAACGTGAAACCTTACTCACCCTACTAGAGGCGTTCGTTTATGATCCTTTAGTCGATTGGACAGTGAGTGATGATGGCACAACAACAGTGGCGCGCGCGACCTCAGCATACGCAGCTGCTTTAAGTCTGAATACGTTCGATGCGGCGGCCATGTATGGACAACGGGAAGGTAGCAACGTAAGGTGGGATAGCGTCGCGGTTGATGCTACACAACGCAAACAGAATTGGGATTGTACGCGACAGTCGCTGGAAATGCGTCTGAATGAGCTCAGACCGTTTTGGACGCAATTCAGGTGAGTTAATATTGTGAAGAAATATAAAATTTTTATTTAATTTTACACCCTTTTGAACTCCTATCACACTTTCAGAGATGATCTGCAAAAGCGTTTCACCGAAATCGAACAGGCTTTGGATCGACTCATCGATTTGCAATCGGAAATACGGCGCGAAGAGCAGGAACGTGATCGTATTACCAAACAATCGGCGATGATACGTGAAGTGCAGGCACTTGGCTCTGCCATGGGTAGTCATAAATTAAATACCATCACCGATCGTTACAGCACCTGCAAACGCGATGAAGGTGCACTCAATGTCGTTAAAGAGAATGTACGTAAATATCAGAGTGACAGCTGTGCTCTGCTTATGACATATTTCGACAAGCTGCTTGCTGCTTCAACCACAAATGAGCTTGTCACGTTGCAATTGCAGTTGTGTGAACTACAAAATAATATACCAGCAAATGAATTCCAAATGCTACAAGCGCTCCTCGAGCAGTGCGGTCAAGAGCCATTGTTTGAACAGTGTGACTTTACGCGCAAAGAAATGGACAATACACTCTTCCAGCAATGTCGTTGCGCCTTGGAATCCATTGATCTATTGCAACAATACATTGGCGTAATGCAATTTTATCCACGTTCGCATTTACTGAAGAATAATTTAATTAAATATGAAAAAGCCTATCGGGAGTTGCTAAGCGGTGCGGCAAGTGTAAGCGAGTTACAACAACAATTTGAAGCAGAAAACGCACAAGCGGTTAGTGAAAGTGTGAAATTGCAAGCTGTACAGTATGCGGTTTCGTTGGAGGAGGTTTGGATTGAAACGAATATGTTATTGACCACATCGATCAATGAAATGAACGATCACAATAATCAGGTGGTGAGTAGAAAGATTTCTTTTCCATTTCTTTTATATACAATAATTTGGAAACGGGGATTCTTTCAACTCCGATTGGTGTACAGTGAAAAGATTAAGTCCTTGGTGGTTTCATTTTATCTAATCTGCTTAATCAAACAAGCACCTCTATTGGTCTCTGCCCACTATTCTTATTCTCTACTTCATTTAGTAGTAAAGATATTCCATGCTTGATGTTCTCTATTGGTCACTCTCCACCTGAAATCGGCAGGCATTAACATAGATTCCATAAAGTGTACATTTCTACCAATGCACTAAACGCAATTAACACCCACTCCATTGATAGCATGAGCTGTTTGGACGAGTTCAGACCAGAGTGAGAGGGGGGTGGTATGAATTTAGTAGGCATAAAGAGGGGTGATTAATGTCAAGTGTTGTTTATACTACAGTATCCTGACCATAATTGCAGCAGTTTTACTCGGATTATGTCAGACAGCGGGAGCTCTTCGTCTACTATGGGTGGTGATAGGATTCCAATTATGCCAGTCTCGGAAAAATATCTACTATGTTTTGACAGACTCTTTGTGAATGGCATTTAAAGCCTTTTAGTTCCTCCTGGCAATCAGTTCTGTAATATAGTCTTGAGTAGTGTTTGTTAGGTCAAGGAAGAGCTTTCCTGTTATGAGGAAGAGTTTTCCTGTTATGATCAGAAGGACGGGATCTGTCATGCTTGTAGTTTCTTCGCCTGTGCTTCCCTAGTCTCCGGTGAACTGATAGCTGCGATGAAATTTATGACTGCCTGCTTCTTTGTCTTTTTCCCGGGTGTTACCGTATGTCGTATGTGGAAAGAAGGAATACAGATCGGCGAATGCGATCCCCAGTTGTTGTTGTAGCGGTTCGCTAATCCCGCCTAGGTACAGGTTTGATCCATCTAAGCTGCCGAGGTCATCTCGTGGGAAGTCCAGGAAACGAGCTGTTTCAACGGGATTAGACCCAAGGGAGAGGGGGTTAGATGAGCCGTTTTAAGGGGGCATTTGAAGAGGTAGTCGTTGTCGTGCGGACACTCTCCACATGCAGGCCTGTAACATTCATCTGCATCTCATTCCGCTCAGATCGGTGCAGCATAGTTTACGACGCTACAACAACAACAACATGGAATATAGAGTTGGGCTAGAAAAAGAATTTGATGACAGTCTGAATTCTACTTAATTTCCGCAGATACCAATTACCTCGTGCTTTCTATTTACAGGTAATCCCCTTAGATGTCGCTGTCGCCACAATACACACATTCCTCGCCGTAGATCCCGTTACTCACATCGAAGCTTTACAGTCGTGCATGCTGGAAACCATAACAAAATCCAATGACACATTCTTGACCTTCGAAGAGAATGCTTTAGAGACGGAAGATTATTTTTTGCTCCAACAACAAATGCATTTTCTTGAAATGCTACAACAAATGTGCGAAGTGGCATTTCCAGATGCCGAACAACAGTATTATGACAATTTACTCACACTTACTGAAACACTACAAGCAATGTATACATTGAAAACAGCATTTGAGCTCTCAATACCCGAGCGTATTGTGCGTTTGTACATGCAAGACAACACGGATGAAGTGCAAACCGCTTTGACTAAGATTTGTGATTATAAACAGAATGCTACAGAGTCCCCGCTGGATTTGAATAATGACAGTGCTGAAGTCTCGCTGCTCTACAATGAGATATATGCACTTTTCGATGATTTCGAGACGCGCGTCAAATTATTGCAGCCGACTGTCGAGATTATGTTGGAGAGAATATCGGATTCCAATTTTAAAAAATTTGTGGTGAGCAAGTCTATTCGCATTTCTCTAATGGTTTTGAAATTTAAAGTTTATTACATTTTTTCCCCATATATTATTTGCAGCAAACACGTTGGCGTGAAGGCGACACCTCGTTTATTGATAATGGTTTGAAATACGATGTAATTACCAATATTTTCTGCTCTGCGCGTGATTATGTGCATGGTCTGCTGCATAACGATACGCAACACATTTACGATATTCGTCGCCTTTCGGCGCACTTCAATAATTACATTAACCTAATGCAACGCACTATTCTTTGTGGTCTACCATCGCTTTTTGCGCATATACTACACCAACGACTGACCACACTAGCCGCGCAGTATCCCCACTTGAGTTGCTTGGAAGTAGCTACACTTATGAACGCGAAAGGTCTATGTCAGAACCTATTACTTTCGCTCCAACAGGGCTTTAGTGGCAAAAATATACAGATGCAAGTGCTGCTGCATACCAAATGGTCGGAGCACAGCGCTTTAGTGGGCAGCGCACACTATTGGTTTAATGAAGAAGCGCTGCAAAAGGCAGAAACGCAGCTAATGTATGGTTTTCCCAAGGAAAAACTACTCAAATCACTACAGGCCTGTAGTCAATCGTTGAGCGCTTGGAAGCATACAATGATAAAGATACACGATGATGTTGAAGAATATACAGCAGCTGTGACACAACAGCTCAACTGGGCGGTACAGTCGAACAGCAGTTTATTGCCATTGCAACCTCATTTTGCGGAGTATGCGAATACGCAATTGCTACGCTATAATGGCATACTACACTCAGCTACGCATATTTATGAATATGCTAATGCTTTGCTGCAATTTGAGCTCTTACAGTCAGCAGATAATCGTGTACAGAGCTACAATGCTTTTCTTGCAGTGCTGCAACAGTGGCAGGATGCGCAGGTGTCAGTGCAGCAGAGCAAGGGAAATATTTCCCAAATCGAGCAGTCAATTGTGCAACTATTGGATCCGGAGGGTAAAGTGGATCAGTGTTGGCTCGACAATATCGCTGGTTTGTTGGACGATATGACCTTTACATCACAGCGCAAATTGGCCACACTAGAACATGAAGAGGATGCACTGAAGGAGGGACTTTTCGAGCAAGGGCAACAGATGTTGGTGGGTATTGGTGGAGATCCTCTCAAAACTGTAATTTATTACTTTAATGAACTTTACTTAAAAAACATTATATAGCCTTTGTTGGATCCACAAATGCGCAGCGATATGCGCCATCTCTTCAAAGCGATCACCAAGAACGATCGTAATGTCCGCAACAGCGTTGTTACAGACAGAATTAGCCTTGCACGTGATCTTCAACATGCTTTCCGCATGTTCTTCAATAAATTAAGTGAACTACAAATGCAACTACTGGCACGTAACACAACCGACAATACGCTTAAAGATTTAAGGGCTAAAGTACGTGAGCTACTAGCAACACACGAACAAAACTATGCTAATCTGTTAGAGTTAGGGCAACGCTTTAAGAGTGACGATAGCGCGTGTTCCTCAACTACCGATTCACCACTGCGTAACAAAGGTAGTTATGCGGCCGCTTTAGAGGGCGTACAGAAATCCACTGTAAACAAGGAGGAAGCATCAGCGGCCACAGATGACGGTGATAAAAAAGGTACACGAATATTATTTTCAAAACACTCGCTTACTCCTTTTCTTATACTCCTCAGCTACTACCAACAATAATGGCGAACAAAAGCGCAACGCTTACGCAGTGTCTGTTTGGAAGCGTGTACGCATGAAATTGGAAGGACGGGATCCAGACACAAATCGTCGCTGTACAATTGCGGAACAAGTTGATTACATTATACGTGAGGCAATGAATCCCGATAATCTAGCTGTGCTCTACGAAGGCTGGACACCTTGGGTGTAAATGCTTAAAGAAACGGCTTCGTTTATGAGAAGCTTAAACCTAACTCAATTCAGCAAGTAGCAGAAGCTGCAACACCAGCAACGACAATGGCAAAGGCCAATGCAATGGACAACAGTTAGCGAAAGATTATCAAGCAAGAAGAAGAAAGGGATATAGACAGGGAGAGAGAGCGAGCGATGAGAATACCAGCAGGATGGACAGATGTTTTAAATGGAAGATGCAACATTATGATCATCCGATTCTTTTATACATACATACCTAAGCAAACATACATATATACAAAAATCATAATTATCATCAAAGCGACGTCTATAGTAAACTGTAGCTGGAAGTATGGTTCCCTAAGCACGGAACACAGAGAAAGGATATAGTGAACAGAATTCGGCGTAATGAACATTGTAGCCGCACCTACTCCCTTGTTAATTTACCAGAAAAAAAAAATGTTTCGCTATAGCTGTTGTAGACGTTGGGTGGTTTGTTTGTGGGGCTGCTGAGGTTGGAATTTAGAATTTAGTCACTGTTTTAAAGCGTATGTAGCGATGGGCAAATATCCGGTTCACTTTACTCCCATGCACCATCACAGATGCTATTATTTGCAATGTACATTTCTGTGTGAATGAGTGAACAACTATGTTATACTGGTGTGATGGTACGTGTTTTTGGGAGGTGAGGTATGCATTGGAGTTTCATCTCACGCACGCGCTTTTCGGACTAAATTTCTCTTGTAGATTTTATTGTTATAAAATTTTCTTTTATTCTCATTTCGATTCATAATTCTAATTTTTTTTTCTCCATATTCCTGTTGCAAATAATCTCTTTGGTCGGAGTTTTACAACAACAACTGTAATAAACTATTCGATGATCTAATATTAAGTTGGCCGTGAAATAATAAATAAAATAAAAGCTTACATAACAGTCATGTGTAAATGCTTTTTCGATATACAAATTGGTCTTTAATTTATTTTACTGACGTGTTTGCTTTAAGCAATAAAGGTATGTATGCAATTCAATTTATATTAATTACAATTTAAATCCGAATTTAAGTTAGCAATAAAAATTGACAATATCGCATTATAAGTGAAAAAAAAGAATAGCAAAGGTTATTACATCAGAAGTTGGGATATAACGTGGTATTTTATAAAGCTAAGTTAGAAGATCTATGATAAGATCAATCTTCTTATGAGGATAATTATACCACGTTTGTGCTTCATTTCTACTCGGGTAGATTATACTCGCAAGCTTAAACACTTTTTCACCACGAATTAAGGCGCCTACTCGGGTAGATTATATACATTTTCTCTACCTATGTGGAAGCGTTAACTCGGTAGCATAAATGCGGGTTGAGTTGGAATCAGCATTTGCTTATAACGTGATTGATACAGCCCTGTTATTAACTCCGTTCTGAATTTAACTCGAGTAGAACATTTGGCGTAGAAAAAAACCCGCGTAGTAATGAAGCATAAACGTGGTAATAATCTGCTAATTCTCTCTCTGTATCATGGAAAGCATAATACCTGAATTTTGTTATACATGCCCAAATGGTTTAGGTATATGACTCATGCTCACACCATGCTCAACTTTATTTCATTTCGTACTTTGCTTAGGTATTGCCCCGTTGGTATAGATGCTTTGATTCTAGGACCGGTAATAAACACTCTTTCCATGTGTCCCTTCTCCACGCGGTTGGTATATACAAAAGGCCAGACTTTCGTTCAATATGTCTAGTAGTATAGGTGTTGCGGATTTTTTTCCCCACAAACAAGGGAACAGTTCATCTGGCTTCCATCTGTATATTTTCCTCGAACCGTGTGTGGCTCAGCTGCTTCGAGAATTGAAGATAGGCCTTCGAAGAACTTCCTGAAATGATCCCTTTTGCTTTTCATATCTTCTTGTTGGAATTGAAAGTCTGATCTATACTCTGCCCAATACCCCGTAAGTTTTATTTGGTTAAAGCACTTCCATATTTCTCTTTTGAAGATTGAGGGTTCATTTTTATCACCTTTAGGTGCTTACTTTCCCTTATATTCTATAATTCTAAAATGTTCTTCGACTTGAATTTTAAATCAAGTGCATTCAGATGATATCATAAGTTTCTACTGGCTTCTGCCACTTTTATCCTAGGGATATCTAACAGGGGTGTTAAGGGGTATTCTTAATTCGAACTTTAACTATCCGACTTGGCATGTGAAGATGGATTATATTTTAATTTGAATTAAAAATATTTCATTACACTGTTAGTATTTAGAATTAAATAATATTTTTAACACACATCAAGACAGGATATTTATTTCTTAACATTGAATTCAATTAATTACCCATCGCACATTCAGGATATGCGCATCTCAACGGCATTTACCACTTAATGCGTTACGAAATACTTTACACACATCGTCCTTATATAGTATATAGTACATTTTTATATATTTTACAAACTTATACATATGTACGTATTATATATACATACGATATGTAAGTGCTTGTACGAAAAAATCTGAATCTGGACAAGAAAATACACTGCAACTGACATGCTGTAAGTAATTAACACTCCTCACCTCCCCACCCCACGCAAACATTGTGTCATTTGCTTACGTCAACCATGAATAATTGGCATTTGAACAGAATGTACAATGTGGCTACGTACAATGGTTCTCACAGCATTTATATTGTTCACACTCAAACACAAAGCCATAAGATATGCCATAACTGTTGAGAGTGCAGTTGAAGCCTTTTGCCTAACGGGATTCCAGAAGGCTGTACAACTAACTGTTCCTTGGTAGTTTGCGAGAAGGTTGCTCTAAAGATATTTTTTCACAATTCTTATTAGGCAGCGTAAGGGTGCTTTAAGACGGGGGGCTTTTAATAAGGAAATACTTTCCTCGGAGTTCATCTTTTTGACACCTACTTGATTACTGGATTTATACTCAGTTTGATTTGCCATTTGATAATGAGCAGATAACAGAACATCGTTTGCAAATCCTTACCAAAATTACATTTCGGCACGCACGACTGCACAGCGTCCAATTTTCGGTCAACATAATCTCCGAGTAGAGTTGATAATTCAAGCAACCACTGATCGGTTTCGTACCGCGTTCACTCCACTGGATCATACGTATTCTCAGAGACGCAACGCGGTGCGCACCAAATGCGCTATACCAGCTGTGGAGCAGAGTATCGAAGAAGACTCGAATGAGCTCTTCCGCCAATTGGAGCTATGCCCATACACCTCATAGAAAGATTTTACAGTGGGTTCTTGGTTGGTGTGCTTATAGAATCAAATTGGCTAGAATTGAAGCCGAGCAACATCAACCGCGCCGCACGTTCGGTCCAAAATGAGATGCCGATTTTCACAAGAAACTTTTGTTCCGCTATGAAGCTCACTTTTGGTTGAATGTTTGCGTGGATAAAAAAAAATTATCGCATTTGGAGTGACGATAATCCAAAAGCCATTGCTGAGACACCATTACGTCATCAAAAAAGCCACTATTTGGTGTGCTCTAGGGGCTGAGGAACACATTGGGCCAAATCTTCCTTAGTCCCTGGGGAACGCTATAGAGCCATGATTAATCACTCTTTCGTATTTGAATTGGAAAATGTTCATGTTGACGAACTTTTAGTTCCATACAGCCCAAAATATTTCTGCTTCATATTATCTGATACCCGGAAACCAAAAAAATTTAGTTTTGTAATGGATATAATGGAAAATTTGATTCATTCGATCATCACCGAGCAAATATTTCTTAAAAAGTCGTGTGAAACTTTTAAGTCAATCGATTCAGCAGGGAGATTTCGCTCAACGATTCTGGAAACATCGTTTAGAGATCGTCGTTCTCAAAGTTTTGCGCACCATATACAAGAAGTTAAGCTACTCCGCCTTGGGCTTCGCCTATTTTCGAACGCCACGAGACGTCCCTAATGCTGCGATTATATCTCCGAGACTGTGTGTCGGAAAAACAGGTTTGTGATTTCGAAAAATTAGAAAAAAGAAGAATTTTTTTAAAATTAGAATTAAGTAACGTCGCCTGCCAGGAAAGACTTACGCAAAAAATGGTCGAATATTGGGCCTCTCAGTTGGAATCTATTCGAGCCAGCCGCAGTGATGACTTGTCTTTATAATAAAGCTATTTTCTTGGGTATGAATAAATCGTTCTAATAGTCCATGATGCGGTACCGTCAGGCCTTTTTGAAACTCTAAGATTGCTATGGTTGCTTAGCAATCGCTTCAAACACATAAAATCTCTCACTCCAAATTCCAAATCCCGAAAATACGGGTTTCACAAACCGTTACTTATTTTAAAGCCACCTTATTGCAAAGAACTATTCTGGCCAATGTCATTTGTTTGTAGTACTCATGAGCAAGCCGAGAACAAGTGGAAGGGTAAAACACTTTGTTACTGCTGGTCATTTATGTACCACGTATAGAGTAGAGCTTGGGGTATGAACTTATGGGTACAAAACCCATTGGGTGTGGCATGTTATTGTGTTATGTCGGCCGCCACCGTCGAAACAAAAACTTTTGCTAATTGCTCTTCTGCAACTGCTGCAACTATTGGCCTGGCACTGATCCGCCTGGTTCAGCTCCTCCTCCTCCACTTCAGCTTCCAAATCGGTATGCCTTTGAACCTCTAATTGTAATCGAGTGTCTTCGCATATGTATTTGTATGAATGTGTGTGTGTGTGAATGTGAGGCGCATAAAGTGTTTTGTCACAGCTACGCAGCCATAAAGTATGCAATGCTAAAAGTGTCGACTCAGCATTTCACAATGTGAAAATGTGTAAAAAGCTTTTATTGTTGTTGTTCATCACTTGATTTTGCACTACGATTATTTTCGTTGTTCAAGGCGGAGCGAAAAAGAATTATTGTAATTGCATATTTTATGGTTGAGAGGTCAAAAATAGTAAACTCATTTATGTACATACATACAGATGTAGTTTGAGCGTGTCTGTGTCTGTTTATGTGTGTGCAATAGTTTTCCCGTCTTGGCAAAGAACTGTCACTCTGCGTATGTATAATAGTACACACATACACACGCACCTGCGTACAGTATGTATTTACAGTTATTCCATTTCAATTAGCTTGATTTTTTCCTGAGCGTTGGTATGCGCATAGAGCCACTTTTCTGTGGACGTTGGTTTTGAAAAACATTGTTGGCGAGTGTACTATTTTTAACAACACCTAAGAGGGCTGGAGTTGGGAATTTACGAATTCGTCGCGACTTCTGGAAAGCCCTTTGGATTACGGACCGAATACCTAATAAAGTCAGGACCTTCTCCACCGGACAATGACGACAAAGTCAAGACTTCGGGTTAGGTTAGGTTATACCGGCTGGATGTCACGTTTACATAGAACTGCTGGTCCTTTGTAATGCCGGGCGGAAGTTCAGCTTATTGTAGTTTGAGCTGAAGTAGTTGTCAACGCTGTCCTTTGCACTGCGAATCAACTAGATATCTAAGACGAGTTGTAGGCCGGACTAAAATAGAGGTGGTACTCCAGCATCTCATTTGTGCATACTTTCCCTGCTCTTCCTGGGTGTATCATCGTTACTGATGCGGATTCGGCTTGCCAGTAGGTTGTGCCCTGGACTTAGGCTAACAATAGGCCATGTAATCTTTCAGCGCTCTTGTACATTATATTTGCATACCGTTAAAACTTTCCATCTTACTGCGTTAAATCTGTCAGCCCTTTCGAAAATTTCATTGTGGTTCGACTTCAGTATTTACTGTAATGGTTCGGAAGATGGTAATTTTGGCAATCTCATCAACTATTTCCTTTCCCAGTATGTCCTTATGACCTGGAACCCAGTAAATATACAACCAGCTTGGTACTGTAATTATTATTTTAGAGCAATGAAGGGTTGTCTAAGATCTAGTTCAAAGCAAAAGATTCCAGCGACCACTTCGTCATGTATTTTTGGTCCATCTGTGCAGATGTTCCAAGCACCGCTTT